TTTTTACCCAATTTGTCCTCACGGCCTGGAAAAGGATGAGAAAATATGGTATGGAAAACAGAGGAGTAGGAGAATATTAAGTACCTGGGCTGGTTGGCTCTGTAAAAGTAAAACTTTAGTCCTCAAACAAAAGCACAAAATGTAAGTGAATAAGTTGGGATTTAAGTACAGTGGGGAGAGCATTAAGAAGTGTTTACCTGCACAATTTTCAAGCAGAGTAAGAGCTGTACAGTGATTTATACATTTCATATTAAATGAAAAAACTTTGTAAAAATAGTACAGAAAGAGTATATAGCATAAAAAAACATTCTGTGAATATTCTAGAAGAAAATCTAACCTAAGATGCAAAAATAAAAAATAAAAAATTAAAAGTAACACAATGAAATGATCAAAGGATATGAAAATATGATTAATTGAAAATATATATAAATGTCCAATCTTATATATACACATACCATTTTCCATGATGAAATTGACAAACTTCCTACAACAGGGTAATATTCAGGATTAACGGTCATACAGGAAACGTATCACACTTGGTTGGTAGGAGACTAAATAGTATAAGTTTTTGGAGGGCAACTTAGAAATAATCCCCCAAATTTTTAATGTAAGGTAAATTCCACTGACAGAAATTTATGTTATATATATACTTTGTTTAGACTCTGCCTTTCTGATAATCCCTGTAATCTTATGCTTTGATTTATCTCCTATCAAAAAAAATGTTTGTCATCACATAGATTGGGGGGAAACAGAAATTAGTTATTTCTAATACCAAAAAGTACAAGAATTACAGAAGTAAATCTAGATTTTTAATCCATGTTCTTTTATTAACTTGTTTTTATATTAGATATTTTCCCTCTTGTCATATGTAAGGTTAATATTTGAGATTTTTAGAATGTTCAAGTGTACTTCCACTTCTCAAATGTCCAATATTACTTCCAAAGAAGTGTCCTTTGTATTTTACCTAATCAGTATCAGGAGCATTTTACTGATTATTTTTTAAAATATTGGTGGGGTACTCATGATAAATTTCCCAACAGAGACATAAATTCTTTCTTGGTTCTGGCATTAACTCCAGCACACGGACACACAGGGGGAATAAAGGAAAGGGCTTGAAATCAAGGTTCTTTCAACCATCTTGGTGAATGATGGTACCATTCAAAGAGATGGGAAGGACAGGAAAAATAACACCTTTTAGAGTGAGGATAAAATCTACAGTTTGAGATGTTAAGTTTGAAGTGTCTGTGGGGCATTCAGCTTAAGATATTCAGTGGCTAGCTGTATGCATAAGTCTGAAGAGAGATGGAAGAACTGAGGCATATGCTGGAGCTGCTGAGAGTCTTCAAAATAGAGATGAAGGTTGATTCACAAAAGATGTGAATATAATTACCCAAGAGGAAGTATGATGTGAGAGCAAGAGAGGGAGACAGGAGGAGGAGGAAGAGGGAGAAAGGTAAGGAAGAGAGAGGAGAAAGGGAGTGGGGAGGAGAAAGAAGAAACCTAGGAGCAGGAAAAAAAAAAAAAGAAGCCTGAAAAGGAAACTTAAGAGAGGACAGAGTCAGGAGAAAACCAAAATTTGTCATGAAACCAATGGATAAATAGGCTTTTAAAAGGTAGGGGTTGCCAAAAATATTAAAAATATCTGAGAAATAAAGTAAGCTCAAAACTGAATATATTTTATGGGATTCAGTAATTTTATAAGTTGTGATCTTAGTGGAAATAATTTAAATTACATTTTAAGGACAGAAGTAAGTTTTCAGTGGGCTGTAGAGAAGATGAGAGGTGAAGAAGTGAAAATTCTTTTCAGAAATTTTGAATAGGAATAAGAGAAGAACGTTTCGACAGAGCAAATCTTCAAGAAATTCTCTTCTTTTTTGTCGTTTGCATATTTTTTATATATTTTTGATGGAAGAATAAATACTTGCACAAGTTTATATGCTAAGAAGAAAGAGTTGATAAAGAGAAAAGGTTGAGTATATACCTGAGGAAAAGGGGTAAGTAATAAGAACACATTGCAAGTATTGAATAAGTATTTACTATACAGCTAATTGTGAGGTAGCTAAGTCCTGTGGGGTGAAAGTGTGGCATTCATAACACACACACATAGTATACTTTATTTAAAATAGTCTGTAACTATCTTCCTTTCTCTTCCTTTCTTTTTTTTTGACTTCACATATTCCAAACTTACTATAAGATAACAAATATACAAAGTGTTAAAGAACAAAAATATACATTAGCAAGTGGATAAATTTCAGAGTACACCTCAGTAATATGAAAACATATTAAAGTGAAGAAAGTATTTATTTATTTAGTCACTTAGTGATCCAGCAATATTTACTGAGTGCCTGCAGAGCTGGACTAATAAATAACAGTATATTTCTGTTCTCATACAGATTTCAGTGTACTGTGGAGGGAGGAAAGGGTAGAAAAACCCCAAAATAATTTCAAAATAAGAAGGTCATGTGACAATAATTAATAAAGATCCAGGCAAAGGGTTAGAGGGTAATTGTTTTAAGAGGTGGTATTTTACTTGAGATTTCAAGGATGAGAAGCATCTGATGATGCAGAAAGCCAGTGCAGGAAACAGCATGTCCATGTCTGAATGCTCCAAAGAAGAAAAGAAAGCCTTTGATGTTCAGTCTGTAACAGTCTAGATCCAGCAATTAGGGACTATCTTTGTGTCTGTTATGTGACTGTTCCCTCCAGCCTCCTCTTTCCTTAGAAGACTCTATTATTTATTTTTCTGTTTTTCTTTATTTGCATTTAAGTGTCTATGTATTACTAAAAATAATTATCTTTGGGAAATTATCCTGGTTTTGTCTTTCCTTTTCTACTTTCCTTGAATTAAAGAAAAAACAAAAGGTGAGCATTGACCATTTACCTACCTACCTTTCTCCTTCCCTCCCTTTCTCTTTCCCTCCCTCCCTTCCTTCCTTTCCCTCCTCCAATCATCTTAAGGTCATCCCAGTTCTCAGTAAGTATTTCTCCAAATTGAGGGCTATTATTGAAGGTTTTTTTTTTTTTCCAGGATTTTGTCCACTCAATTAAGAAAAACAAACTCTTTCTGGTGAGAGAATGTTGCCAATTAGGAGTTATGTTATTGGTCTCTCTCACCTTGGCTGCTGTTTTACAAAAATTATGGAAGGAAGTTGTATCCCTTCCTTTTATTAATTATTGCTAGCAATTTTTGGGGCAGGGGGAGGATAGGTGAGAAAAGTTCTGTCAAAGCCTCCAAATGTATTTTTTTATGTTGAAGATAATAAAATACATAATGTAAGTCTGCGTATTCTCCTTTTAAAAAATTATTACGGAAAATCTCAAATTTTACACAAAAGACGAGAGAGTGATATAAGAAATCATATGTGTCTATCACATAGCTTTAATCGTTATCAATAAATGGCCAATAAACCAAATCCACACTCAGTTATTTTGAAACAAATCCAAAATATAAGATTTCATTTATAAACATTTCAGTATTTCAGAGTAATTTTTAAACAACTTTTTTGGTCAAAAAAGAGGTTTCTAGAGAAATTCTTTTTGTCAGCTTTCTTTAAGTTAGATTACCATCTGATACATCTGTAGCCTATTTTGTGACTTTCCCTAATCAGAATACCCAGAAAGGTAGAGGACCAGAGAGCATTTGTAGCTTCAAACTGCTTGCCTCATTTAGGCCCTGGTGTGTTATATTTTTGTCATTGAAGTTTGTATGCACATTAAATCAGTAAAATGTTTTTAGAGGTGTTAGTGTGAGTCATATAGTTTTCTAGGTATTGCAGATACTTCAGTGAACCAAAACAGTGCTCTCCTGGAGCTTACAGTTCAGTGTTTAACTTTGAGAGGTGACTCTCGAGTTCAGACTCTGTTTATCAAAGAGTGTTTCTCAGTGTCTTTATGTTTTTTGTTTCTCTGTGATTTTGTTTTTGTTTTTCATTTGAGGATTAAAGCATTTCTTAGTAAAACATTGGCTTAAGAATATTGTCAAGGAGTCTGGTGAAATAGCAAAGTAAAATCACTCTTTATTTTGTGGCTTCACTATAAACTTATACAGTTGCTGTCACTTTATAAGAGCCTGAGGAAACAATTTCAGTGAAAACCTTATTGGCTGTTTTAATGATATCACATCTTGTAGTTCTTCTATGAGGAACATAACATAAACTTCTCTCCACATAATATAAGTGGGGGGAAGTTTGACTGGAACTGTATTTGTTTACATGCTGTGTGGTGAGTCTCAAATGCCCTATACACTATTGTAGGTAGAAGTCATTGTTTATTTTTGTATGTATGTTTGATTGGAATCTAATAATTACATAAAAGAGCTATATGTAAGGAACATATAAGGCATTCTAAATGTGCTAATTATGATATGCAGCATGAAGTAAAAATAACGTATGGTTTGTACACAAATAAAGAAACACTGTTTCATTACTATATGATAAGGTTGATAAAGTTATTTTGGACTGAATTGCTGATAATTATGCTTAAGAAAACTTTATGATATAAATTAGTAGTTTAAGATGGCAATCTTCATTGCAGTAGGCCAAGAAAAAGATGACAATAAGCTGTCACAGAGAGATGTAGATAGAACTGCTTGTTGAGGAAGTAGGTTGTCACTAATGCTTTCTCAGGATTTCTTTTATCAAGGATTTTAAAATCTTCCATTGTGTACTGTTGCATTTGTGTTATCACCATATTATAATTTTCAACAAATATATATTGAGAATATATGTTATAGGCATTGTGCTGGAATTTGGAGGTACCGTGATGATTAAATGAAGCATGGTTCATGGGTCTTCCAGACTGATTGATACACACACACTCATACATATAATCATATTAAATAATCACACAAATATATGAATATTTACTTTCAGATACTGCTACTAAATTGTGGTTAGTTTGTGCTGGCAAGAAATACTTAGTATGTAGAGATTTATATTTTAATGACTGTTTAAAAATTTAAACCTGTTTATGCCTGAAATTTTTTTCTCTTTGTCTTACAGTTTCAATTACAAATGGAAGCATTGCTGATTTGTACACATGAAAGGTACTGAGACTTCTTACTTTGTAGGAAGTTCTAATATTTCCCATTACTATAATATATTATTATAAGATGCCTCAGTTGCTTGGAATGTATTCCACCAGTGGAAAATGGTGAATAGTGAGTTAAAAGTGTGAGATCATTGGGTTAATTATGTTCTGTCAGAGTACCATTACTATCCTTTAAATAAGAAAAAGTTTTAAGGTAGAAAATTTTTAACAAGTTAAAATTAACCAGGGACTATAAAGGAAAGTGATTTCAGCAGGATAATTTATATCCTCAAAGTTTCAAACAAACAAAGCAAAGAAAGGTGTATATATGGCATCTTATTTTTTGAAGATAATTCTTTCCATCCTTTGTTCTTTGATCTCTACATGAGCAGAAACACAGAAAGTGGTAACGGGGCCAAGGGTGCTAGATGTCTTGGCACTCATTAACTACAGCAATTAGCACCATTTAGATTGATATATTTCCAAGATGAAAGCAAACTAGGACCAGACAAACAAAATGTGATGGTAGCATTTGTGAAGGTGGTAGCATTTGTGAAGGTGGAATGACAATTACCAACAAGAAGCAGAAAAGAAACAGAGCCCATCTTAAAAGACTTGGAATATTTGAAAAATTGATTATATGATAAGTATAACTACATAACTACAATTCTCAAAGGACTTATGAATGCTTCAATAGCATTCAAGTATAATGAAAAGACACCAGGGCAGTGCACTTTAGTAGTCTGCTGGCTTGAACCCTGTGATATAATGTTCTTGTAATACTTTATGGGTGACTGAAGTAAATTGGTGACGAATGTTTTCCAATTATTGGCTCTTCATATCAGATCTCTTAAAGAACATTTTGTTCTGAGAATATTATGAAGTTAATTGATTGAGTTTAGAAATTGCTTGACAATTTTACTATAGTGTTAACTTTTCTCCTCTCCAGATTGTGTAATTTTTGTCCTTTGAGCTGAGGTCAAATTATAGTTGTTTGGATTTAAGCAGTTTGCTCAGTTATACTTCACCTGTCCTACCTAACCATTTTATAAGTACTGGCACAAAGAAAGAAAAATCTAATTTTTTCCAATGCTTTTATTTCCTTTATTTATTTAGATAGCAATTTAAATCTGTTTTTCTTCTTGACAGAAAAAAAAAAAACAATTTGGATGGATTAATTTTGAACCTAAATAGTTTGTTGATGAATCATTAATGATTTTATTCAGTGGGTGTATTTGAGATAAAAGAGAATTATAATGCACCAAAATAATGATAAATTCTTTATTTTAAAGAAAATAAAGGCTGAGAATTTCATGGTGCTTACTAAGTGAATTATGTAATATGGAGTGCCCTGAGGCATTTAGTGTATGCTCTAAATGTCTTTTAGTTTTTCAAGCAGCAGATATTCATACTATACATACAATAAAAAGAAGTTACAGATTTAATAAAAATCAGAATGGTTTGAACGTTAACATTAGACCAATAAAAATTAAAGGATATCTGAAGCTTATTAATTCTTTTAGTCTTCATGTGCCTAGAAACATTTGTTTCATTTAAAAGTTGTATTACAAAATTAATGGACTGAGGGCAGAAAGGGAATTTGAAGGAATGTGAAATAGAGTCTGGATATATACTGAATACAGGTGGAAGATGTTTGAGGAACATTTATGGAACAAAGTGCAGTTTCTTTCTACTAAGGTCTAGGTATTCAAAAGCAACAGGAAGAGTAAATGTGGCAATATAAACTTGCAAAAAGAAATACCTAGTATTTCTGCTCAGAACAGAAACCTATGAAGAAAGATTCTGCTCAAACAGAAACCTATGAAGAGGTGGCAGTGAAGAAGTCAAAGGAAAAACTGAGCAAATAAAAAGTGCAGACAGGAGTTAGAAATAGAGAACAACGTGCCTCAACAAAAATGGGAACAACAAAAATTGAGGGTATTACAATACAGAGCACTCCAAATGACAGAACAGGAATTTAAAATTGTATGTGCAAGAAGCAGATAACATGACTGGAACTGAAGTATTTGTTTTTTCCTGTGAGAGCTGCAGGACAAGACATTCCTAAGCAACACAACTCTGGACTAGGATTAGTTGTACTCTCTCAAATATATTTTGAAGTAAAAAGCTGAAAGCCAAATGCCTTCAGCCACATGAAGTACCCAAAGTCTTGTGTAATACATTGTCTTTAGTGTTTTATGGCTTATTCAAAAAATATAAATTATATTTTAAAATTGATATGTAGGTGAGCATGGTTGCTATACCTATGGATTACCAAAAGTAATACCAATAATAGCCAATCATTCAACAGTCAGTTCAGTCCTATTATTTAAAAAAACAAACAAAAAAACCCTTAAAATATTCTATTAAATCTCACGAAAGTAGTTTCAGTGACAAGGTTTCAGATCTTTGCAAATGATAACGAATTTAGAGACATATAATGACAAACTACATTGCTAGGTCTAGACAGATTTAGATAAATAATGACCCGCTTGTTTATCGCAGCCATAGTCTTTAACTTTGAGTAAAGGAATCTTGAAAGTAGTTCAACAAATATATATTCTCTTTTTTTAAATATATAAATTTTCTGTTTGGTGGGTGATAAAGATGCAATATGGAGACTTCGTTATATTATACTCCTTATATTCCCTGTTCTGTTTTATACATAAGCCTGTTTTTCCTTTTCACCTTTATTCATCTCCTTTAAATAAGTATTTATTCTATAAAATATGTATACTCTTTCTATATGTATATGAATATGTGTATATACACATGTATGCATATTCTCTCCATTTATGCTCATATAGTCACTCTTTTAAAACATTTCTTGAAATAATTCTTTTGGGTGGATTAATATTACATCAGTTTTTTAAAAAATATATTTTATTGATTATACTATTACAGTTGTCCCATTTTTCCCCCTTTATTCCCCCCCACTCTGCACACCCCCTCCCACCTGCATTCCCTGCTCCTTTATTTCATGTCCATGAGTCGTACGTACAAGTTCTTTGACTTCTACTTTTCTTATACTATTCTTAACCTCCTCCTGTCTATTTTCTACCTACCATTTATGCTACTTATTCTCTGTACCTTTTCACCCTCTCTCCCCTTCCCACTTCCCCACTGATAACCCTCCATGTGATCTCCATTTCTATGATTCTGTTCCTGTTCTAGTTGTTTGCTTACTTTGTTTTTTTGTTTTGTTTTTTGTTTTTTTTAGGTTTGGTTGTTAATAGCTGTGAGTTTGTTGTCATTTTACTGTTCATATTTTTTATCTTCTTTTTCGTAGATAAGTTCCTTTAACATTTCATATAATAAGGGCTTGGTGATGAGGAACTCCTTTAACTTGACCTTATTTGGGAAGCTCTTTATCTGCCCTTCTATTATAAACTATAGCTTTGCTGGATAGAGGAATCTTTGATGTAGCTCCTTGCCTTTCATGACTTGCAATACTTCTTTCCAGCCCCTTCTTGCCTGTAAGGTCTCTTTTGAGAAATCAGCTGACAGTCTGATGGGAACTCCTTTGTAGGTAATTGTCTCCTTTTCTCTTGCTGCTTTTAAGATTCTCTCCTTATCTTTAATGTTGGGTACTGTAATTATGATATGCCTTGGTGTGTTCCTCCTTGGGTCCAGCTTCTTTGGGATTCTCTGAGCTCCCTGGACTTCCTGGAAGTCTATTTCCTTTGCCAGATTGGGGAAGTTTTCCTTCACTATTTTTTCAAATAAGTTTTCAATTTCTTTGTATTCCTCTTCTCCTTTTGGCACCTTTGTGGTTTGAATGTTGGAAAGTTTAAAGATGTTCTGGAGGTTCCTAAGCCTCTTCTAATTTTTTTGAATTCTTGTTTCTTCATTCTGTTTATGTTGAATGTTTATTTCTTCATTATCCTCCAGACCATTGATTTGAGTCCTGGTTTCCTTCGTGTTACTGTTGTTTCCGTGCAGATTTTTCTTTATTTCACAGAATGCAACCTTTATTGCTGCTTGGGTCTTTTTTATGCTGTTGAAGCACCCAGTGAATTCCTGGAGCATCCTGATACCCAGTGTTTTTGAACTCTGCATCTGATAAGTTGGTTATCTCATCGTCACTTAGTTGTATTTTTTCTGGAGCTTTGAACTGTTCTTTCATCTGGGCCATTTTTTTTGTTTGTTTGTTTCAGTGTGCCTGTTACATAGTAAGGGGTGGAGCCTTAGGTGTTCACCAGGGCAGGGCAACTCATGGAGCTGCTTTGTGACGCTATATGTGGGGGAGGGGACCTAGACGGAACAGTGCTGCTTGCTCTGCTCTCTGCTGGTTTTCAGTCACTTTGCCAGCTACCCACAAGTAAATTGGGCCCTTCTGGTGCCGATTCCCGATGGGTGTGTCTCTTCAACAAACTGTCCTTGAGGCTGGGAGTTTTTCCTGCTGCCTCAACCCGCATAGGTGTTTTCAGTCAGAGGCTTTGAGGCTTTATTTTTCCACTGTTGGAACCCTGGGTTTCTTGGTCTGTCTCGCTCCCCAGTTGTTCCTCCCAGTTTATTTGCACTTGCATGTGGGACCGCCCAGTCTGAAAGCCACTGCCTCACCTGGTCGTCCAGTTGCCACCTTGCCTCAAGTCCTCTCTATCCAGCTGCCCATCTCTGCCCCTCCTGCTGGTCTGGATGAATGTTTTTTTTTTTAACTCCTTGGTTGTCAGACTTCCATACTGTACAGTTTTCTGTCAGTTCTGGTTGTTTTTTGTTTCTAAATTGTTGTTGTTCTTCTTTTATTTGTGCAAGGAGGCACAGTGAGTTTACCTACGCCTCCATCTTGGCCGGAAGTAGTACATTAGTTTTATTACAAATGGCAGACTTCTGTTCTGTTAAATGGAAGCTTCTATTAATACTAGAATGAGACAGAACATTATTGCTACAGTATAAGTTTGTATGGTTGGATGTCCTACTGGTTCTAGACCTCTTGGTTCACTGAAAATTTGACAGGCTGTTAGATGGAGTAAAGGGTAAGATGCAGTCATGGACTGTAGGTTTTTCATTCCTTAG